TTTCTAAATAACTTTAATACTAATTTATCTCCAAATATTTTAGTCGGTGGGAGTTTAAAATTTAGTTGGATTTTTCACTCTGGAGAAGAAACTGGCGCCAGCGTTCTGCTTGGTGAAATTGAATAGCGGGAAATTAAGGCGCGCAATTTCCAAGTTTTTATTTTTTACCGCGGTTTCTGCGCGGGTAAAATGCACTTATTTAAGGGAAAGGAAAAGGCTTTTAAACGTAATGTGGCTGCTGGGATTCGAGCCCAGGTCTCCACGGCCACAACGTGGAATTCTTACCACTAAACTACAGCCACAAAATCTAAAATTTTTCCATTTTTATTCTCCTCGTTTATTACTGCAATAATCATGATTACATGTCTAACCCAAACACTAATTATTACTAACTAATACTTCAATTTTATTTTTTTTCTGGGAATCTAAACAGAGTTAAAGATTGTGAGACCACTGAATTGATTTTTTTTTTTTTTGGGATTTAATGTTACTTTTTGCCCATCTTGAAACTAATTATTGTTGAAATAATATTAAGTATGCATCTCATTTCAGGCTTAATGTATTTAAAAAAAGCTATTTTTTAATTGTTAATTCCAAAACTTAAATGATAGATCTAACCTGATTTACAATATAACATTTACCTATATTCAAGAAACTGAATTGTATTTTACTACTACTAATTGATGAATATGAATGCTGCTTTGAATGAACATGGTTAAACTCCATATGAAGCAAACGTTACTTACCTGTCATGAATTCTTCCTTTATCTGCTCTGAACTGAAGTTAGGAATCATGTACGAAATGGGTAAGGTTAAGACCACCAATTTTATTTATAATTTTATTAATTATTAATTTTTTTATTAATTATTAATTATTTTTAATAATCAAATTAAAATAAAATTTTGATAATTTTAATAGTTCTAACAAAATCAACGGTAACAATAAACATAATCCGAATGAATATTAAATTATATTTAGGTTGTGTTTGGTACAGTTGATGAGAAGTTTTTTTAAACTTTAAAAACTATAACTGCACTAAATATTATAATTTGTAAAAAATACTATAACTTCTCACAAGTTACTATTGTAGTATTTTGTCCACTTCAATGTAAATCTCATAAGCACTGAATTGGTGCTTCTACAAGAACTTCTTATTTGGATTTAATAAAATTAACACATTATTTATATTTTATTTATATTTTTTTATTTACAAAAACAATATTTATATTAAAAGTTCCAGTAACACTAAACGCACACTTATTCTTGTCTTTAATTGGGGCATTGATTCTTATGCCTTCCGACCCATTTGTGGCCTTGCACTGCAGGCAGCAGCTAGCAGGGGATATGGAACATATCTGGAAATTGGAATCAACCAATTGAGTTGGAGGCATAACAATTCTTTCCTGTGTATGGAAGAATAGGAATAGGAATACGACGATTCTGTTTCCCTCTCAACCAATCTCGATTAGGTGTTTTTGGGCATAAATCAGCCTGAAATTTTCCAGGGCCTAGCCCAATTGCAAATCGAGTTATTTTCCATCTTCAGAATATTCCGGCCCATTAGCTACATCCCCTCTTTTTACTCGTAATCTCTATGTGGGAATTAATTAATGGATTTTTTTAATAAAAAAGAATTATTTATATATAAATTTCGTCCATCATATTTATATAAAATGTCAACCATTTATCTTTTTATTTTTAATTATTAAAATTTGTTATAATTTTCTAGATAAAAAAATTATTATTTTTAATAAATATAAATAAATTTCAACTATTAAAAGTGAAGATATGAATGATTGAGATTATAAGTAAATATACTATATAAAACTTATGTATTAATGGATTTTTACTCTCTTTAATTGCACATTTTTTAAATAAATTTTAATGTAAAAATGTAAAAGTATTATTTTTAGCAGCTTGTGGCATATGGATGATTATAATTACATAATTGATAAATTTAATGAAAATTTTTATCTGTTATATAAATTAATTATAAAAAATATAATTAATATATCTTTAAAAGTACATGTTGAAATCACCTTTGATTAACACCAGGAATATAAGAAGTTCCATCTGTTCATTTATTTACACGACGGTATCATTATTTAATATATATTTACATGAATTAAGGTTTAACAACCTCTTCAACTTTCCACGTTAATCCCACAATAACTCTTCTATTCATTTCCATTCCCACTTCACTGTAACGTTTTTCAATCATAAACATTATATAAACAGCGTTATTTCACTACAAATTTTACACACGAACTTCCCTTCAGACATCAATATGGCCAACCCTTTTACCTTCTTCTTTCTCATTTTTCTAGCATTCACCCTAACCTCCATGACTGAATGTCGATCTCTGCACCCGGAGACGAGTCCAAGTAGCCTCAAAGCACGATTAAGACTCGAGGATGACGACGAACTGCCCAACTGTTGGGACTCTCTAATCCACCTTCAAGCCTGCACCGGGGAAGTAATCTCGTTTTTCATCCAGGGTGAAACGTATCTTGGCCATGCATGTTGCGAGGCCATACGTACCATTGGGCGCAAGTGCTGGCCCAACATGCTTGACACGCTGGGGTTTACCACGGAAGAAGGAGACATGCTTGAGGGATACTGTGATCATGAAATCGAGGTGGAACCGCCTCCAGAGACCATGGACACTGTCAAGGTTCTTCAACGCTAGACGTTGAGGTTTCCTAATAAATAGTTCATCAGCTTGAAGTTGTGATCTGGTTGTTTATAAATAATCTGTCATGGCAATGGAAATAATTAATTTAAGAATGGTATATATCGTATGATCAAATTTTGAAATGGACTAAACAACCAGGCAGGTTAATGGGCCTTTTAGGATCAGCTCAATGGTCAAAACAGTGAGTATGCTGAAACAAGCTTCTCATTTAGCACAACTATCATTGGGCAAATGGTGCAGAGTCATTTCTAAAATTGTTGGTTGAAGCAAATTCATATTTAAAACAAAAGTTAACGTATTTTGTCATCTTAAATTGTTGATTTAAAAATTTTGGCACAAATTTAACTGCTAACTATTACGGAAGGAAATCCTGACTAATATTCAGTCAATCTTCATCATTTGTGTGGTTGGATTCATTTCATATATTCTCATTATTGCTGTAAATATAATTTCCATTTGTATACTTTCCTTTTGTGTGCAGTAATCGCTTGTTTATATTCATCAATATTCGAATGAATAAGATCATCTCATTATTTTTGCAATAATCCTTAGCTAATTGCTTCTATAGTGGTATCAGAGCTTTCTCAAACGAGCTTCTATTCGTTAACCATGGCCGACCAAACAACCCCAACATCCAATACTGGGAAAACAGTTGCTTCCAAAACCAACAACACCGTTGTCACCACCATACCTGCCACCAGAAACACTCCGAACAACTCCAACTCCAGCAACATGATTACCTTCCATGTTGCTTCCCAATTCCCAGTAAAACTTACTACAGATAACTACACAATGTGGAGCAGATAATTCAAATCACTGCACAAGGTGTATCGTCTATATGATTTTTTGCTTGGAACCAGGCCATGTCCTCCAAAGGATGATATGCCCGACTCTCATGATCTGTGAGTACGACAGGATGAATCCATCCAACATGCAATTTTAACAACAGTTTCAGAATCAGTCCACCCATATGTTGCCAGTGCAGAGACTGCTCATGAGGTATGAACCCAGCTTGAAAATCTCTGCGCCAATAGTTCTCGTGTGAGAGTGAATGCTTTAAAAGAAAGGCTTCAAAACCTTTGGTGTGAAGGGTGTGCAGTTGCTGACTATCATCGAACTGCTAAGATTTTGATCGATCGTATTGGGAATGCAGAGAAGGCACTCTTAACCAATTCTGACATTCAAGTTCACATCTAAAATGGCCTAGGACCTGAATATCGGGAATTCAAGGCATCTATTAGAGCTCGAGATGGACCACCTCTATCTTTCGAAGATTTGCAGGACAGACTTCTTGCTCATGAAGAGTCCCTACAACGGGAAGAGAACCTAAATCATGATAATGCTCCAGTGATTGCTCAATTTGCTACCTTGAATTCTCAGTCTAGCAACGGCTCCAATTGGCATGGAAGCAATCAGGATCATTTTGCTCCGTCTCGGAATCGCAGGCCCTCTAATGGATCTAAACAAAACCTTGCACATTTTGGCCCAAGTAATCACTCACAATCCATTAATGCTAGCTCATCCAGTCGTGGTAATCGTGGTGGGCGAGGTGCAAGGGGCCGAGGCAACAATCGAAACTCATCAAATAGGTACAATAATCGCAATAATATTGCTTGTCAATTTTGTAATGGTTTTGGTCATTTTGCTAGGGATTGCCTTGATCTTCGAAATCATGCTCATGTTGCCAATTTTGCTACTACTTTGAGTACCAAAAAGAATGAATGGTGGATAGACTCTGGAGCCTTCGACCATGTGACACCAGATCTAGCTAATCTTGCACTTCACTTAGAATATGATGGTCCTGATGAATTGATCATTGGGGATGGATCAGGTTTGACTATCTCTCATGGGTGACACCACAATCTCTATAAAGCATAAACCCTTGTCCTTGAAAAATATATTATGTGTCCCTAATGCCTCTCACAATTTAATTTCCGTTTCTAAGCTTTGTCAACACAATAATGCCTTTATTGAATTTCACCCTGATTATTTCCTTGTGAAGGATTGCAAAACAGGGGGCCCTACCGACATGGCGTGTACCGCCTACCCATCACCGATCTAACTAGATCGACTCATGTGGTGTTCACTGGTGAAAGAGTCTCCGTGATGGATTAGCATGCAAGATTGGGTCATCTTGCCTCCAAGACACTTTCCAAAATTATTAATTCTATTAGCTTGCCTATTTCAAGCAAATCTAAGTTTCCTTATGTGAGCCATGTGCTTGTGCCAAAAGTCACAAGTTGCCTTTTGGAGTATTTTCTATTTTTAGTAATAAACCATTAGACACTATTTATTCTGATGTTTGGGGCCCCACTCCTTTAAACTCTATTTATTGTTTCTTATATTATGTTATTTTTATTGACTTATTTAGTCGATACATTTGGATCTTCCCAATGAAAAGAAAATTTGATGTGGCTTCTATCTTTGAAAAATTCCATCTTCTTGTGGAAAATCAAGTTGGCCATAAAATTAAATCTTTTGTTTCTGATGGTGGGGATGAGTACATTGCTTTACGTAGCTATTTTCAATCTCATGGAATTTCTCATTTCACTACACCTCCTTATACATTTGAGCTTAATGGTATTAATGAAATTCGTAATCGTCACATTGTTGAAACAGGTCTTGCTCTTTTACAAAAGGCTTCTCTCTTTACAAAATTTTGGAGTCATGCATTTACCATGGTTATTTATCTCATTAATAGGATTTCAAGGTTCACATGTTCTTTTTCACCCTTTGAAAAGTTATTTCATATTCGACCTATCTTAAACTTCGTTTTTTTGGGTGTTCTTATTATCCATGGTTGCATCCTTATAATAAAAATAAACTCCCACCTTGGTCGAGGAAGTGTATCTTTGTCAGTTATTCCACAAAAATTTGAGTTATAAATGCTTTGATCCTCAATCTAGTCGAATATTTTGTTCTCACCATGTTATTTTTGATAAGCAAAATTTTTATTTCAAAGATAACTTGGTCCAACAATTGATGTCTACATGCACTCGTGACTCCGATCTTGTTGTAGTTTCATCCACTTCATCACCTACAATGCATCCATGTGGGTCGGGTCTATCTAAGTGCTCCTCTAGTGCACTTCAACCTTAGGTACAACCTTCCTCCTTGACTTCTAATTTTTCCTCCATTAATTGTTCATCTCCCTTACCTTTGGCCCAAACCACTAAAGCCCACCCAACTTCACCCATCCATCTCCCATCCAACACAAGTCCCTACAACCCAACACTACCCTTCTCAACCCAAATTCAAAAGGCACCCTTACCAACCCAATCACCCACCGTCCAGCATACCCCTACTACTTCGCCTAGCCTTGTGTCACCTACTTCCACCACTTCATCTATTGCTTGTGACTTAGTTGCACCCATTGTTGTAAAACCAATTTCACCCATCGTTCCCACTCGTACCCATGCTATGACCACTCGATCGCAAAACAATATCTTTAAACCTCGAACACTATGTCATGCTACCAAGCACCCTATCTAAATAAGCTTTAACAAAAAAAAGATGAGAGAGAGGGGTAGAGAGAGAGAGTGCAGGAAATGGCAGTGGATCACAGCAACGACGACGAGAGTAGAGTGCGAGGTTGGTATGGAGACGTGGAGATCAGAATAGGGGCCTTTATGATGATGGGGATAAAGGAACTTGTGAGAAGAGGTTTGGGCGCTTTAATTGGATAACCTCCGATCAAGCAACAGCCTTCTATTTCTCAAACTTCCCCAACGATTGGACACACGAGCAGATGTGAAAAACTTTTCTGAATTTTGGAAAGGTGTATGCCATATACAGTTCGAGGAGGAAGAATAAGGCTAGGTGTAGATTCAGTTTTGTACGGTTCTTGGACGTCAAAGATGTGAAGAGTTTAGAGAGGTAGCTTGATCAAATATGGGTTGGTAATAACAAACTGATAGTGAATTGCCCAAGATTTCAAATAAATATTAGAAGGGATGAAAGGGAAATGACAAGCCACTATAAGAAAAAGTAAGGAGGAAGACTCAACTTCCTAGAGGTAGTAAGAGTGCAAGGGCGTAGTTACGTTGATGTAGTACTAGGTGAGATAAAAGTGGAGCAAAGTCAATAGGTGAAGGAGAGCAATAAAGAGAGAAGGCAAGTTTGGCAAGTTTGGCAAGTTAAAAGCTCAGACATATCTTGGATTGGGCTTGAGTTTAATACCAAGCAGGAGAATTGCAAATGGTTGGAAGGATGCTTCGTAGGCATAGCAAGATCTGTGGAGATTGTACCAATTATATAAGAATGTTTTTATATGAAAGGGTTGTTTTTTGTTAAAGTTAAAGTTATAGGGGGGAGGGAATGGTGTTACTAGATGGAGAAGACAAAGAAGAGCTTAAGGATTTGATGGAATCTACAGCGGATTGGCTTAGTCAGTGGTTTGATGAAATCCGTACATGGACCTCCACAACGGTGGCTAGTGAACGGTTTGTATGGCTAAAAATAATGGGGGTTCCTCTAAAAGTATGGGGGGATAATTTTTTCTCCACTATTGCAAATTTGTGGGGGAAATTCATTTCTCTTGACAATAGCACTAGATTAAAGAAAAGGTTTGATGTGGCAAAAGTGCTCTTTTCAACCACTCAGTTGAACACTATTTCCAAGTTATTAAGAATTAAAGTGGATGGCCAATTCTACAACATTATGTGTAGAGAGGAGGATGGGAGCAATGGTTACTTTAATCTCAAAACTTATTACAATCTGGACTTTTAGTCTAATTCGAATGATGAGGATCTTGAGCTTTGGTCCACTGATCATTACTCTGCAGAAGAGTTCGATGATGCTAGCCATGTTTTCCGCCGAAAAAATTAGTTGAATTGGTCTGAAGATGATGATGGGGAAGAAGACGCTGACATGGCCCTTGGAAAAGTCCAAGAAATTCAAAAAATTCCAATTGTTGATGAGACTTCTAGCTCTGCAGAGCACATTAACAAGTTAAGAGGCAGAAGTGGAGAAAGTGCTAGTTCCAAGGAGCTTTGTATGGTGAAGGAGACACTAGGGGCTGGAGCAAAAAATTTATTAATGCCATAGTGTAATCATGAGGAATTGGTTGGTGTGGGGCCAGGTTATGAGGTAAACATAGGGGAGCAAGGTAATATGGATAATATGGAACAGATTTTGGGCCATGATGTGGCCTAGCCCGTCTCAAATGGGATCGAGAAAATAATGGAAAATGGGTTAAAAGCCCATGACGGTTACCCATCCCTCAGCTTGAACAAAGATAATCATGCTAGAAAACAATCACAAGAGTTGATCAGAGAAGAAGAAGATGCAAGGGTGTCGGCCTTTGATGGGTATGATGCAAGGGGTGATGGTTCATTCTGGGTAGACCTAAGTAGTGACTTAGGACCGATTGCAGACTGGATTAGCAGGTTTAAGAAGATGAAGATGAAAAAGAAGAAGCAGAGAAAGAGGAAATCAAGGTCATGCATGTCGGTATACAAAGAATTTCATACTGTAGTGGTGGGGAAAGGAAAGAAGAGCAAAGAGTGCAGATTAAAAGTGAAATCTACCTAGGAAAGAAGGGTACCAAAATTCATTCCAAATCCCGACAAGGCTATTGTAGGGAAGTCAATTTCAGATGGAGCAATAGCTAATTATAATAAAAGGAGTAGAGCCAAAACCAAATCAAGTTCAACAAAGGAGTTATGGAATTTCGCTAAGGAGATAGGATTGACAGCAACTGGTGATGAGCAGACAATTATCCAACAAATAGAGAAAATGGAGAATAGAGATAAAGAACTCAGATAACAGAAGTAGCTACAGGAGAATGAAGCAGAGGGGAGAAGGAAGGTTAGTAAAAAGTTCTCATGATTTTGTTGTCATATAATATCAGAGAGTTGGGAGTTATGGGAAAAAAAGGGAGGTAGTGAATTGGTGAGCAAAGAGAAGGTGGAGTTCTTGGTAATTCAAGAAACAAAAAAAGAAGCTGTTGATAAAAAGTTTTGTAGATCTTTGTGGGACTCAGACGATTTAGAGTTTGTTGCTAAGCCTTCTAAAGGGCAGTCAGGAGGGCTAATATGCATTTGGCAGAAAAATGTGTTGAAAAATTGGAGTAGTTTTGAAGGAGAATATTATGTGGGCATATCAGGTCTTTGGGGAAAGGAGGAAATTGTTATTAATTTGGTGAATGTTTATGTGCCGTCTGATGACAGGGATAGAAGAATGAAGTTTGATGACTTGAAACTATTGATTACAAGTAAAGGAGGGTGTTGGTGTCTCATGGGTGATTTCAATACAACTAGAAGCCAATAAGAAAAAAGTGGTGACAGAGGATTTACAACTGGAATGAGAGTGTTTAATGAATTCATCAGGGATTTAGAGCTAGTTGATCTGCCATTGAATGGAAGGAAGTTTACCTGGTACAAGCCTAATGGTGATGCTATGAGTAGGCTTGACAGATTTCTACTAACTGAAGATTGGATGGCTAAGTGGAGTAACATGAAACAGTGGGGATTAAAATGCTCTATTTTTTATCATTGTCTTGTTTTACTCAAAAGTCAGCACATTGATTGGGGGCCTAAGCCTTTTAAATTTTTTGATGAATGGTTATTACATCATGAATGCAAGACCCTAGTGGAAGAGGAATGGAAGAAGACTAATGTTCAAGGCTGGAAAGGATTTTGTGTGAAGGAAAAACTCAAGGCAGTTAAACAAAAGTTGAAGAAATGGAGTGCTGAGGAGTTTACACAGATTGACTTTAAGATTAATGAGGCCAAGGAGAAGATTGCAAGATTTGATAGGTTGTGTGAGCATAAACAGTTGAGTGATGCAGAGTTAATGGAAAGGAAGCAACTGTTTATGGAATTATGGAAGAATCTAAAGATAAAGGAAGGTATGTACAAGCAGGAAGCAAGGAAGGCTTGGCTCAAGAATGGTGATGCGAACTCTAAATATTTTCACAGATGTATTAAAAGCAGACAACGAAGAAATGAAATTAATTGTCTAGAAATCAATGGTAAACAGCTTGTAGGAGTATAAGAAGTAAAAGACGGGATTGCTAAACACTTCCAAAATTTATTTCAGGAGGAAAACTGGGTGAGACCTGTTCTTGATGGTGTGGACTTCAAACAAATTTCTTCACAGCAAGCTGCAAGGTCAACAGCCTCTTTTTCGAGTGATCATCTATTTCTTACTTGTAAAGTCACTGTCGAAATTTGGAATAGATGCTGGAATTGGTGGGGTGTTCAAACTATGTTGGCTAGTAATGTTTGGGATGTCTTTATCAACCATGAGGGTATTGCAATGTCCAAACGAATGAGGATCGATTGGGAGGTGGTGTGGTTTGCTTTGGTATGGACTATATGGCTCACTTGAAATGAGATTTTGTTTAACAATAAAATGGTGGATACAAATAGGATATTTGATTTAGTCCAAGTAAGGTCCTTTCACTGGTTGACAAATAGAGGAAAGGTTTTCAAGTATGGTTTCTCATATTGGCTCCTCAATCCCCATCTATGTAATGTTAGCGCTTAAGTGCATAGGTACATAGGCACTATAAATGTTATGTAAATGGGTTTAAGTACCTCTTGTACTCAAAATAAAAGTATTTTTTGCCTTTCAAAAAAAAAAAAAATGCTACCAAGCACGCTATTGACCCCACAGTCGAGCCCACCGGTGTTAGCCAAGCCTTGAAAATTCCTTAATGGCGCCAAGCCATGTTTGATGAGTTTACTGCTTTGGTTAGATAGGGTACTTGGGAACTGGTTCCTTCAGACACTTCCCAAAATGTTATTGGTTGTAAATGAGTGTTCAGAGTTAAATGGAAAAAAGATGGTACAATTGAGAGGTTTAAAGCTCATCTTGTTGCTAAAGGATTTAATCAAAGGCTTGGTACTGATTACTTTAATACTTTTTAATTTTGTGATTAAACCTATTACTATTCGTACTATGTTGTCCTTAGCAGTTAGTCAAAATTGGTCCATTCGGCAACTAGATGTAAAGAATGCTTTCTTACATGGTTGGTTGGAGGAGGAATTATTTATGGCTCAACCATCTGGCTTGATTGATTCTAATTTCCCTCACCATGTCTGCCAGCTCCACAAATCTATATATGGGCTTAAGCAAGTTCCGCGTACATGGTACAAGGAATTGAAGAATTTTTTGCTCTCTCATGGCTTCTGTGGGACTCGGTCTGATTCATCACTCTTCATTTTTTATAAAGGGAATGATGGGATCTATTTTCTAATCTATGTTGATGATATTATTATTACTGAGAGTGATACTCTGATGATTGATTCTATCATCTCCTTGATGAGTTTTGTATTTTCCATTCAGGATCTTAGCTGCCTTAATTATTTTTTGGGTGTTAACGCTATATTTATAAAATTTGGACTTTTCCTTTCGCAGACTCAGTATATAAGGAACTTATTGGCCAAATTTGGCATGCAAGATGCTAAACTAGTCACCTCCCTTATGGCTCTTGGTGCCCAGCCGGACGTCTCCTTTACTGTCAATCGCCTATCTCAATTCCTTCATGCTCCATCCGACATCCATTGGCAAGCTGCAAAGAGAGTTTTTTGCTATCTTAAAGGCTCTCTCTTTCACGGCCTTCACCTCCGTCAACAAACCAACTTTTCTCGTCATGCGTTTTCAGACTCTGATTAGGCGGGCGACAACGATAACTATCGTTCTACAATTGGGTACCTAGTCTTTCTTGGGTGTAATCCCATCTCATGGCGTGCTTGCAAGCAAAAGGTCGTGGCTCGAAGCTACATAGAGGTTGAATATCAGGCGCTTGCGGCAGCAGCTTCTTAAATAGTTTGGGTTCGGAACTTGCTCTTTGAACTTGGGCATCCAGTCACTGTTACTCTTGCCTTGTATTGTGATAATGTGGGTGCCATTCATTTAAGTAGTAATCCTGTTAACGAGTAAGACATTGCTATTCTTGACCGTTAAAGGATCAATTTTTAAGTTAACAATTTAAAGTGTCAAATATACAATATATATGTTTGTTTTCAGACGTGGATTTACATCAACCCAACAATTTTGAGACTGGTATATTCTGGACCCTCTGCCCCCTCATTGTGGGTATGTTGAAACTGAAATGATGAAAATGACTTATGATTCATGGATTACAAAAAATCCTAGCATCTAGACAAAGGACACATGTATGGATTCATTAATTGAGGACCAAACCCACTGGGCCACACAATACATTCAAAATGTAAAATATTTTGAGACTAATTTAAAATTTAAAATTATAATATATGTATATGGTTCTCAACATAATTAGGTTTCTATTTGTTCTTAAGATTTAGTTCAATGATAAGACGAATGAAAGTGATGTACAGATATGAATGGTACGCTAACGTTTAATTAAATCAAGGGCTCTAGTTGTTGAGTGGGAATGTATACTAAAGAACTTTGTGGATTAAATATAAAGAGAATTATTTCACATATTATCACTTAATTTTATGTTAATGCAACCATTATATTGAAACTCACGGTGCTTAATTTTTAGATGATGGACTCATTCTTAATCCATCTGACTGGATCCAAATTAATACTAAGTTTACATGTAAGGTACTTGACAAAATGTGAGGGTACATGTTGGTTGAGTTAAATATAAAAGGATCCTACTCCACTTATTGTTAATTAATTTTTGTAGTAGATTCTGTCTTCAACATTATCAACAATAGGGAAGTGCTTTTCAAAAAGGATTTTTTAGAGCACAGATTAAGAGGTTTTTTTTTTAATAATAAATGTGTATAGAAAAATGTAAAAACTGATATTAATTTAAATGTCAAATGAATTTAATTAAATAGTTGATAAATTAAAAATTAATTTTTATTTTTTCAATATAAATTTATGATAACAATATTATTTAATACATCCTTAATCTGTATCCTAAAAGTATAGGTTAGACAAATTGTTTCAAAGAAAAAAAAAATCAGCAACAAACAAGTATGTAATATGAAGTGTGAACTATCATTTGATCAACGAGTTGTAATTAATGGGCCCAAAAAAGAAGACATATGATGCAGAGTTGAATGATTGATAATTCATGAATTAATTTTTCTTTATAGTTACACGATGGGAAGAGGGAAAAGGTTTGTCTATCACTTAATTTCACCTAATTTTTTTGTTCACCTGCCATTCCAAATTGATCCTGACTGCTAGCTGAATTTCATGTTTCATGAAAATTGTAAAAGCTAAATCAGTGATACTGCTTTAAGTATTTGTGATTTAGTTTCATATATAGACCAGTATGGTTTTCTTTTTTCAGGGAGATTAGAAATTCGGTATGGGTTGTTTAATTACAACTCTGCATGCCACTGAGTGCAATGCCCTGTCCCTATGATTGGGTGGTTATAGTCACCTACCCCAGACGCATTAACGTCCTCGTCTTATATATTGTCCTTTCGTTTCATCGAAGAGGTGGCGTTTTATTAACTGCTAATTTTTTTAAAAAAAAATAATTGGTGCATTCGTCTATAATTATTTATTTAACTATTAAAATTTGTAAGTTTAAGTGTATTTTTAATTTTTTTAATTTTTAATTTTAAATAAAAATAATAATTTTTTTTATAAGTATATTGTAAAATATGTTAAATTATAAGAATTCTATATCAATGCTCTATTTTTCCTTTTGTTGACTCTTAAAATTTGTTTACACATTAACATAAGATATAATCCTATACTTTCTTGATATAGAAGAGGACTGAGGAGGCAGTCCAACCCCAACATAGTTTGGAAAAACATAACCTTTACCAACAAGTATAATTACGTAGCTACAAGTTCGTGATGTAATAGTTTTTTTTTTTCTTTATTTACTATAAAGATATGTCTTTAAGTCAATTTTTATATACTTTAATACTATTTTCTTTTCGAGTAAGCTTAGGGACACATCACATATTAACTTGGTGCATTTAATGGAATTAATTTTTTTAAATGTTAGTCTTAATATTTGAATCTTAACTTGACTTATAAAACGACACTTATTTCTTAATGAATCCAATTCTTGGAATTGAGGTGTAATAATAATTATTTTTTGAATGGTAAAAGAAGAATTTGTTAAAAATAGAGTCCAATGGGTATTTTAAACCCATAAACAATCTTACATGATGGGGCATGGTGACACAAAAAATCCTTAAAACCAATCCTAGTATAACAAAATAAAAACGCTTACCGTATGCCACCCCAAGTGCAAAAATCCGTAACTCCCTAATTGGTATTTTTTTTTATTATAATTTCCTAAATAAAAATGAATTAAAAGGAGTCTAATGGGTACTTCAATTCTATATATACGAGTCACAAAAGGCTTATCCTATAGAATAACAGCGGTAGAGGAAGGAGAAACAAAACTGTTCAAAATCACATAATTAAACCCCTAGTTGTCATGTGTTAAATCTCCTTTGTCTTTATGGAAATTTTTCAGTACAAGAATAAA